CCAACGCTTCTACTATTAGCTCTTGTTCTTACATGCAAATTCTGTAATTTCTTTGGCAGTATCTCCACGCACACTCTTCATATTAGACCTATTTTGTCGTGATGCGGGCCCCTCAGCGTGGAAGACTGATCTATAAGCGATCGAAAACAGCAAACATATCATTTAAGAAGAGTAATTGTATTATTGCATTTTCTGTAATGTAGTTGTTAATATTCCAATGTGGGAACGCTCACGACCGTCATGAAAAATGTGGATCTCATATTAGTATAAAAAAGTTTCTGGAAAAAAAATAGGGTGGGAACGCTGTTATTATCCTACAACAACACTTGAAGTTTGTATAAACTACGAATATGGATTCCATATATGGAACACGTATGTTATAAATCAAATGTATGCCGACATTTTAAGCTTGGTTTCAAATTGAAAATAACCAAACTCCCGGTAGCTCAAGGAACTGCCAAAGTGGGTCGCACGTCCCGCAGTCTCGTGGTGATCGTTGGCGTAACTGTACAGAACTACGTATACTGCTGGTCTGGTGGTAGAGCGGGACTTCGTTTTCTTGGACCGGGTTCGAACCATGCTAATCACCAAAGGATTTTATCTATGATAATGCCGTAACCTTCTAGACCCGTTCCGGGCTACAGCCTAGCGTTCTTGGGTGTGAAAGAAGGACATACAAAAAAGGTCCGTGTCCCAAAAGAAGTGCTGTAGAGTTCTGAACTAATCTATACATTTTTAGTCAAAGTTCTATTTTCCGTATGCGATAACTCTATTTGTCTTTTTTCGTTAGCAATGTGCGTGTCACAGTGTGTTTGTGTAAATATAGAAACCCCTTGATGACACGTCCAAGCGCCCGACTATCGTTAATGGGCTGATTATATCGACAATGGCATCTCCTATTCTATTCTATATGTAATCGTGACGTAACCAACGTTGAAACGTGTAAGAAAATAAAAGGTAAATAAACCACTAATATATTTGTCTTCACAAACGAGCCGCACGTACGTTATGGTCCTGTAAAGGACTGACTGGCTGTTTAAATAATTGTTGGTTATGATTTATATCTTAATAAAGTGAGGTGTGCATTAACATGTTCACTGTGAATTGCATATAATATGTTGCAGTTTATATCAATAATCAAAAGAACCGTGACAACAAGACGCTATAGCGAGAAGCTTTAAATGGTTGGAACCTTTAATTCTGTTTTGTTGAGTGCCGGTGTGCGTTCATTCACGTTTGGGATGTTCCTTACGTCTTGACTCAATGAATCATTATCACTGTCTGGACAAAATTCATGAACAAACAAAATTCATGAGTTCATGAATTTTCATAGAAAGGCTCGTGAAGTTATGTAGTTTGTTGAGTCAATAAAGCCAATTTATAACCATAGATAAAGTAATTATACTACTTCATCTATGGTTATACATTGTAAATGATAGCTTATAAAAAGTCTACATGGTATAATAACAATAAGAATGATTCAGCTTGAAAAGACCGCTGTCAGTTAAGAAGGGTATTTAAATTATCTTGTGAGAAATAAAAAGTTGATCCAAAGACAGAATATTGAAAATTGATTGCGATAAAGATGAGGTCAGCCATCATACAATCAGTGGGATGGAGATGGCACGATAATGTTTATGCAATGGGTGTCAGTGGGTAGGTCAGTTGTCAGTGCTCAGTGCTATCATCAGTCACAGCGAGGCTTCATGTATAGAATTGTTGATCAGCTGACTGACGTGACAGCGAGAGATAGGTCAAGTTCGAGGTTAGTGACTAGCGCTGAACTGTGATTGTGATTAACAGATGGTTTGGCTTCGTCGTTGCTTCATCTCATGGTGGCACCCTCATTCTCATCTCATTGTGAGGCCAACTTAGGCCATGGCCTAGGGCTTCGATGGGCTCGGGTGTGAAAGGGGGCTTAAAATATTGTAAATTAGTAAATTGTTCTTGGGGTATATAAGCCCCGAGAATGATGTTACAATCAATTCACTATTGCTGCAGTTATTATAAGTAAATCTTTTAAACATTATTTACTATCATAGCTGCAGAATCCTGTTAACTTCATCATCATACAGCATCTCCCGCAATCGCTGCAACATTCGCGATCCGATCGCAATAACATACCTACAGATTTTCTTCCTGAAATTTTTTTTTATTATTATAAACGCTCCCGGAAATTGGGATTCATTTAGCTCTTACGTGATGCATTAAAAGAATGCTGAAAAACAAGTGTATTTATACAGAAATATGAGTTTGTAAAAAGATTTGAATTACATTACGTTATTTTTTTATAAATCCGCACAAGTGATCATGATTATAATGATGATTGTATAGGTAGTTTTGCAATTGAAATAAATAACTAAAAATTAACGGAATGGGCAGTTTTAAGTTATTTTCAAGATACCAAGTTGAGATGGAATTCTTCTATCTTTTAATTTTTCTATGTTCACCTACTAAACCGTTTGGCTAACTTAAAATTATTTTCCTGATATCAAACTTTGTTTGACTTTATTTACTCAGAATATTAAATATTGATGACTGGAAAATTTCCAGACACACAGCAGCTATATTGTCATTGAGGTACCGTAATGGACTATTCCTTCAAAAAATTAATTCTCCCATTCAATTGAATTGAACTCATTTAGATTTAGGACTATATGTATAATTTACTTTAGGATAGGATTGGCCAGAAAAGAATGCATGACTTGCAAAACAATTATTTAATAGTACGTTATCGTGATCTCTTGAAAAAAGTTTGAAATTGTTTATATTTCTGGTTTGGACATTTCAAGGATAAATACCTGATATTTATCATTTCAAGTATTTTTGATTTCTTATTATGGCATTCAACTCCAGATAACGTCATTCAAATCTAGGACCAAATCTAGACAGGTAGTTAAAAGTACTTGGATTGTTGTCAAGTCATTGTTAGATAATTTAGAACAGTACCTAATTTTTGGGACTTCTGCTTCATGCTATAAGAAATAAAAGTACTACACAAAAAATGAGTTACAATCGAAAATTAAATACTGTTTAACATCACAATAACATTTTTTACCAGACATTGTTTAAAATCTAATGAATATTACAAATATCCAAGAGTATTGAACGTTCTGTTGTTATTAAGTGTTAAAAAAAAATATGTATCCTCACAAATGGAGCTTGATTTGAGAAATAAACGGTATCTGCACAAAACTGACACATACTTTGTCCCGTTAGTTTGTGAACAACCTTTATCATGGATAAGCGGTGGGTGTAACTATGGATGTTTTATAAGAAAATGTCAAAAGTTGCAATACATTTTAAGCCGTAATTGTTTCAGCAATGGGGGGGGGGGGGTTGCACTATTTCTTTTTTAATTATTAACTATGAAGCATAATTTGAATCAAAACCAGCTTTTTTCCTAATATCCGATTTTTTGTTTTTTATGGAAAAACAATATACGTTACAATAACTGTTGGTAGTGCACCAGACCTACACAGACCTAAAAAAAAAAAAAAACGCAATAAAAAACAAAATGTTGGATTTTAGAAAAAAAGCTGGTTTTGATTAAAATTATGGGTCTTTTCTACCTTACATACATACTAAGTTTCATAAAGATCGGTTGAAAACATTAAAAGATAAAAATGATTACATAAAAAGTACTTAATGGCGGATATCTGGATAATGGAGCGATTTTCAAAAAAATGTTATTCTTAAATTTCCCCTTTATTTTTACCCAAGGAATCACTGCATAAATTATGTCCCCACCTTTTTTTAAACACCCTGTATATATTTCACCAGCTTGTGTGGCATCTTTAGGGGATCTTCTTAAGCTATCTTCTCATCCCTAACTCTAATATTTACAAATATTGGCACTTGTCACTGGTTTTGTGGTTGTGTCAAGTGAAAGAACGGAAAGACAGAGTGAAAAAGTCATAGCTAGAGGTCTTTCTTCCTGCATTTCCAAAAAAAAGTACCTCCCACCATGATTCGGCCGCATGTCCGTCGACATGTTCGCTTGACACAACCATGATACTAGTGACGTGTGTCAATTAATAGATAATAGGGTTAATGATTAGAAGATAGCATAAGAAGACCCTCTGAAGACAGAGCCGGTCTTAGGCTGTACAAAAGGTGCAGCCGCACAAGGCCCTACGCCAGCTCCCCTCATGTTGAGCTCTTGGTGTAAAATTAAAAAAAAATTAAAGTTTGTGAATTTAACATAAATTATGAAAAAATCAAATGAGGGAGTACAATTACTAATATTATACATTGAGATTTTTTTAGTTAGGGATAGGCTTACAGTACAACCTCTTTAATCCGAACCCCGTAATCTGAATGAACACTAAACCAAACGCCTCATTGCTGTACTCTATATACAGTACAGTAGTTCTTTATTGTACTGTATACTGTACACACTGTAATTGTTTCTTTTGTTATGTACAGTATTGTTCATTCACTATGTTTACTGTATTAAATAAACACTGTATTTTACTATGTAAAGCATTTTCTCACTTTTCCAGTAAGAATTATTAATCCATCTTAGACACGTTTTAGCTATTGTTATTAAAAAACAACAATATGTTCTGTAATCAGAACTATTCAATAGTCCAAACTACCCCTGGTCCCAATTAGTTCGGATTAAAGAGGTTCTACTGTACTACTTTGTTGGCAGTTAAAGGGCTTGCTCTCAATGTTTGCACTGGGCCCCGCACCACCAAAGGCCAGCTCTGCGTTGCAAGCTGGCAAAATGTTCATATGGTGATACACAAACATCTTGCTTAAGCACTCAACAACAACAACAACAAAAAGTAATCTAACTAGTTTAAGTTCCTAAACCTGGAAGAGCAATAAAATATATAGAAATAAGAGGTTTGTATTAATCCATCATTGTATCTTAAAAGAGTGGCTCAGTGTTCAATGAGTCTCAGGCTAACTCAAGATTGTTCATGCTGTTAAAATCATCTGAGATATAATTTTGATATATTTATTTATTCTAAATATGTATTTTGTTTCAGATTATAATGACGAAAGGACTTAACGAACTAGCAAGAGAGCAAGTAGCACTAAGGAAGGAGCAAGCTTTCATCAGAAAACAGCTGGGCGTGGAAGATGAGGAAGTGGACTCAGCATCTGACGCGGCTCTCTCCATCCACGAGGAATACATTTCCTCAGCAGACGAGCTTGATGAGGAATCTGACAAGATGCATTCCAAGTGTCCAGCCCGGACAATATCCGTCATGTCAAGCGATGGAGGATACATGTCATCAGACGAGGATAAGCAACCACAGTACAAAAGTACCAAGTCTGTTAGCTTTGTTGTCGATCTAAATGATAGCACCGTGCAAGAAAATGATATTGAAAAATATATCAAAAGTTTACCTTTAGACCTCCAAAAGCTGCTTGAAGGAATTAGCCAAGGTATACCTAATGACTATACAGTTCCGATCGATAAGAAACCTGATTGGCTGGATATGAAGAAAATGAAAGTCGGACAAATGTTTGCTCAAAAGTTTTACTTCGGTCTGAATTATTCTGAAATGCTCTCTTTACTGATCCTCTTTGCCTTCCCAGATGGTCTCCAACCTTTAATTTTCACTGGAAACTCTGGAACACCGTTTACTGCTTTCAGAAGATATCTATCAACTGTGATGAGAGTAAAATCGTGGTTTGAGCATGATGTCTTTGATGAAAAAAGTCTCGCTTACAAGAACATGAAAACAGTAAGAGCAATGCATCTCAACGTTAGCAAAAGACTTAACTCAGTTCCCTACGACAAACTCAAAACCCAGTTGACCGTTACAGGGCCATCAAACGACACTGCCGTTTGGTCTAATGTAAAAAATAAAGTCCAAGAAGATTTCCAATCAGGATGTCCAGTCATGAATTTCAGACCGATTGACCACGAAAGAGTAGGTAAAGTGTTTGTAAATCAACTCGACATGAGCATAACGCAATTTGGATTTGTCGGCCTCATGATAATGCACCCTGAGAAATTCGGTGCGGGTAATGCAACAGAGGAAGAATTAGAAGGTTTTGTTCATTTGTGGAGAGGCTTGGGTTACCTTCTAGGGATAGAAGATAGATTCAATTTCTGTAACGGAACTCTAGATGAGATACGTCGCAGATGCCATTACTTGGTTGACAACTGGGTGAAGCCTAGTTTCCAGCATGTGACAGAAGACTGGGAGCACATGTCTCGGTGCATGGTGGAGGGAGTGAGCTACTATGTGCCGGGGGTGTCGTTTGAGGTGTCTCTGTTGTACTTATGTTGGGTACTTGATATTCCTGCACCTAGACTGTACGCATCCCTCTCATGGGGTCAAACCATCATGTTCAACATCATGAAGATGACCATGTGCTTCACCCTGAGGATACCAGGAATGTTGACCTTCCACAACTGGCTGATTAGACGCTCTCTACACAGGGCATCCTCCTGGACCCCTGACCATCTGGAGAAACTGCAGAGCAAGACTTATAGCTATCAGAAGAAAGAAAGCTTAAACACGAGGCTGTGATATTTTAATTTAGGATTTTTAGTATCCTTGTTTATTTGTACATTTGTAAATAAAATGTGTATATAGTTAGTAATAGTGATATATTAACAAAATATAAAAGTTTCTGTCCATTCTGTTATCTTTCAATAACTGTATCCAGTGCTTGATTTGTAAAAAATGAGGTGCCGAGACTGTAACCTTCTTAATGTGATTAGTAACCTATTTATGCCAATATTTTTACCTTTACGAAAGAGAAGTACCGAAACCCCGTTCCAACGCAAATCGAGCACTGACCGTACCTATGTCAAGAGAGGAGGAGTATTAACAGTGTAAAAATAAAGCTCCTTTTTCTTAAAATCTTGAGGGGTTTTAAGAATAAGGAGCTTTATTTTTAAACTCAGTATCTTTCCAGATAAAAGGAGATATAATCAAAAACAAAAGCTAGAAAAAAATATATTCTTGAACATAAGCTGAAAATAAACCTACCCTGCCTTCAAAGCAGATTGTATGTAAAGATCAGATCACGATTGTCAGATAGTCAAAGACTTTTGGTATAACCTTTATATTTAACCACACATTGTTCAAAAGTTTGAGTGCGAGATCATTATGCAAAATAACTACTTCATACTTATCTCAGAGAATATTGCAAACATTTTACAAAATTCACGGTATCTGGAATGATTCAAATTCAAATGATTCAAATTCAAATGATTCAAATGATTCAAAAAAATGATTCAAATGATTCAAATGATTTATTAGGCCATTCAGTGCATACAGGACAATAGGCTACGTCAACAATACAATAAATAATAAATAACATGCCAAGCTTCTTCTAGCATTCTTCTGAATCTGATCTCGCCCTCAGATTATGAAGTATTTAAAACTATAAAAGTATAGTACACAAACCCAGCCGAAGCTAGAAAAACACAGTAAAAACCACTCACAGAACAGTGAGTGTCAAAGCCTTTAAGATACTGTGAGTGGTTCTCATTGCGTTTTCCTGCTTCACCTGGGTTTCTGTACTATTCTTGTATTGCTTTAAATACCTTCTCGTCCGAGGAAGGGATCAGATTCCATAAGAAAAAGGCCATGAAAACTTTGTTTTTATTTTTTAAACTAATTATGATGAAATGTCTGCAATAATATGTTCTTAGAATGCAACTCACCATCATGGAAAATAAAATTTAAACAAAATTACTGCATGATGCTACAAAAAGAGGGGGAATAAATAATTGATATAGCAAATAGGAGTACTTTTACAAAACAATTTATGAGAAACAGGTTTACAAAATCAAATTGTGTTGAAATTTTGGTTTAATTTGCGTAGAAAACTCATTGCAAAGTTAGAGCAGACCAAGGTTCCTCTCCACTACAGCGTGTGGTTGATACAGGCCTTCCCTCATGTCTGGAGTGTTGAGGATGTCGTTGAAGTCGAGGGTGACATCATCTCCTCTAAGTACCTGCACACATAGCATCCAGTTGTGACTACATGTACTGTTATAATCACTAATTATTGTTACTGGTACTTGATATGGCCACTGATGATCACCTTTGACTGTTGATTGGAGTATAAATCTGATAGATCCCAATAGATAGAGTTGTAACCAGTTAGACTGAAAATGGACGTAGTTAAATCAAGCCACTGACAGATGCCACTATCCAAAATTCAATTTCCGTCATTAGTTTTTGTTGCTGTGACAGGTGATGTTACTTAAAATATATTATAGTTTACAGGAAGTTTTTATTTAAGCGTAGTTTGCTTATAGATTTAGCGAGTTAGACAGAAATCAGTATTTGGCACCAACACATTCTGTAGGAGGCTCAACCCAACTACGTCCATTTTTATTGTTAAGCACGCTACAACTTTTAGATGGGAATGGAATGCCTAGTTTTATCAACTGCCAAAGCCTACCACTAAACCTTAGCCTACATCTAAATTAAAACTTATGTAGGTCAGCATCAGCATTTACTGTTGATAGGTGTAGACATCAATTTCCCATGTAACCATTTAGAAGGAAATAGACGTTGAATTTAGCCACTGATAGTGTGTTATCACAGATTTCTGTTGAATACAGAAACCTTTTAATTGAGCCAAACTTTAAATTAACATTTATGATAAACTGACAAAATATTTTGAAAAGGGATGAGTTTAGCTAGCTTAGCCTACCTGAGAAGATTGGTAAAAGATACACGTAATAAGAAGTCAAGAATCGTAACAAAATACCAGCATTATGTTTTAATATCTTTTATTGCGTATCAACCCTCGTCAGTATAAACCTTGGTTGGCCCTCGGGCTCTATGTTTCATCCTTAACCTGATACAAAGTAATTCTGTCAGGCAAACCGAAGGCTGCCATAGACTAATCATTTAACGAGCATAACTCTTTACACTTAAAGACACATTGATACAAACAGCTCACAACAAAACTGATATATTTTTAATGATAAATTTAAAGCTTGATGGGATACGTGGTAGGAGAACTGGTATAATAAGGAACATAGAAACAGAATAACCTGCCTATGTACCTGTTTGAAATTTTTTTGTTAGCTTTGTATCAGGTGTTGTGTTCTAAAGCTTTGTAAAGCACACTATCCAAAATTAGAGCAGCAAATTAGTTTATCAGTGAGATCAATGCTTTTCACAGAAATTGTTTAAACTTTTGACCCTTACAACAGGTCATTCAAAACACAAACCATTAAGGCATATTGTGTTAAAATTAAAATAAAATAAACCAGAATAAAAAATTGGTGATTGATAAAATTGGCATGTGTATTTTATACCTCAAGCTGGAGATTACTGCTGGGCAGGAACGGCAAGCGTCCGACCTGTTGGGCTGCGCGTCGCTCCATCGCCAGCCGCAGAGGTGCGTGCAGACCCTGCGTGTTGCGCAGTATTGTCATCTCTCGACGCTCCTGCATCGCAACAAACTGCAACAAACATTACACGAGTTACACTTCGCCTGATTATCAGTTACATTAATATTTAAAAAAACATCAATGCTTTAAAAGATAATTGGAACAAAGAAATTCTAGATATATCAGGTGGGGTTAGAATTGTATAATGAAACCTATCACTGCCTTAAAATATGTGGTAAGGTCAAGAAGCTCCAACATTTATTTTTAAATACACACAGCCTGTTTACCATTGTCTGTAAATTGACATTTGTTGTCCAAGGTCTCAAAAATAACAAGGTTTCTGAATATCAATAACTTTTGAACAGGTTGTTTGATTTTGATCAGAGATAAAAAGGACTATTAACATACTAAGAAAGTAATTTTTTAAGTATGGGCCGTTTTTGCGTACAAGTTTTAAATCCGTGGTTTGCTTGTACGCTACCACAACTAGGCTTCTCGCCACTTACTAAACACAGTATAACACATATATAACATATATAACATGTATAACAGAATGAACAAATGAACAAACAATTTGCAGCTAACATGTACGTACCCTTCGCTGTGTGTTACATTTTTTTTTTTTTAACTATCGAATCTCCTGCCATGTGCAAGATAAGATCGGTGATACTTCTTTTTATTACAAGAATCATATCAGATACCAACATTCATCGTCCGATGACTGAAGGCTATGAAGAGCTTCAGAGCTGCTAATTGCGTAATTCTATTCACAATTGATGCCAGATACCAATAAGTGGTAAAGAGTCTTGTTTCAACGTACAAGCGAACTACAGGTACACGCAAAAACACCCTTATAAAACTGCCCTTGTACACTTGAATCAAAATTGCTGGAGCTGTTGTTGAGAAAATCCACCTTTTTTTTACCAGTAGTTAATGAGTTTTAAAGGTAAATTCAAAATAAAAAAAAACCTACTGGAAATACCATAGATTAGTTCCTACCCACATATGTACCCAATCTAAAAAAAATCTGACACAGTTGTGGTCTGTAGCTCTGTAGCCCACATCATTAATACATACACACAGACATACAGACAGATACGCACACAAAGACATCACTTCGAAAAAGAAAAATAACACTTTTTGGGTTCCAAGGGGCCCAAAAAAGATATATATAAAATTTAAACAATTTTGATAAAAACAACACTTTCTCCATACCATGTAAAAATCAATGCCTTAGTCCTTGTGATCACTCCGGTTAATCACATACAATAAAATACTATGCACTTACATTTTTTTCGGATTCTTCAACTGGATGTGAAGAAACTACGTTGTCACGTACTTTGCCCAACCTACAAAATACCATAAATTAGTTCTCATAATAAGAATACTGTAATAAGAAACATGTAAAATAGGCCTACCATAAGGCCCTAGATTATATTAATACCTAATTGATTTATTAAGTTTGAATTATCAAGGTATAGGACTCAATTTAGTTATTGATTGTTTTGTAGAGAATGATATAAAATTAGATTTCCTGTAATTTATCAGGAGTTTGTTGCTGCTTGAGAATTCATTAACTGATAGAAGATTGAGAAATGATTCCAGTTCAACTTCCTCCTTGGGAATTGCCTGTAACTGTGATTTTGCCAATGTTGGCATAAAGACAAACTGAACCTCCTACATTGTCAGCATCAGTAAATTGAGGTAACAGGTTGGCAACAGAACTCCTGGGAAAATATTCACTGGTTTGCCAACAACCTAGTTTTCCCAGTCGCCAAGTGTACATTTTACTAGGGGTCTATAATGGGTCCCCGGATTTTTTAAGTTTGGTCAGGCTTTACTAGATTTGAGGAATTGGATGGGCCAAAAATTATTATCAGATTATTATTATGGTTAAGTCAAGGGCATAATTCCATGACCACAAAAAGGTTTACGAAGGTGTACAACAAAAAATAATGATTTATAATGATAAGACAGACAATAATGTTGCCAAAGTACTCTGAAGTATTTCTCAATAATCCCTTTAATGTCTGTTTCATGAGAATGTAAAAGTGTAGGCCTAAATAAATAAAAAAGGTACTACCGGTATCTGTTTATAAAATATGTACGTTTTATAACCTTATTAGTAGAGGTGGGCCGATACCGATACTCGATACCAAAATACTCTTGATACCAGCGGTATCGAGGTATTGTCGATACTCGATACTTGCCTGTTTTGGGTTCGATACCAATACTGACACCTTTTTTTTTGTCCTACGACGCTAGGCACGAGCCTGGGATTGTTTTTCACATTACTTCAGGATGGACCTAGGGGTTGCGGTATTATCACTTAGATAAAATTCATTGGTGACTTGGTGGGGATCGAACCCGGGACTTCAGGGACTGAAATCTCGCGCTCTAACCACTACGCCAGCTCGCTCCTCTCCAATACTGACACTGAACGGTACGAATCGGTGTGGATTAAGTCAGTTCAGAGCGGGTAAATTGCCGTTACGAATCCTAGCTGTTTGCCTACTTAGTAGAGACAACCTTATTCGCTAGTTTTCAACTCCAGGGATGATATTTGGTTTGGTTGATCACCACTGCGTGCGCTAGTGGCCTTGCCAATTTGATAGACACGACCTCATTGGCTAGTTTTCCATCCAGAGACGATTTTCGGCCAATCACGTGTAAGCGACGTGGATACTTGGTTTGGTTGGTCACCACTGTGAGCGCTAGTGTCCTTGGCATTTTAATAGACACGATCTCATTGACTCATTTACTGCCCTGCGACGACGATCAACCAATCACGTGCTATGTTTTAGAACCATTGAAACTTGGATTGATGTTGAACGCCACACCGAGTGCTAGTGTCTTTACTAACTTATTAGAACCTTTCTCAATGGCTGGTTTTGGATCGGAGGACGACGATAAACCAATCACGGTTAGCGTTTTAGAGATGCAGTAGTCCTGTTATATGCACGATCGCGGTGTTGCAGTTACAGTGTATGTCGTATGATCCATCTGTATGTTGACTGTTGAGGTTATGTTATTGTTATTTCACATTGGTTCTAATTGAATTTCTTTTGATTTTAGTTAGTGAATGATATAGTTTTTTATTTAATATGAGTAAGCGTAAGAGTGATTTGTGGGCCTTTTTGAATACTATTAGTGAAAATAGTGATGTGGCATAATGTAAACTGTGCAAAAAAGATAGCCTAAGTCTCGTACAACTTCTAACCTCAATAAACATCTGAAACTTCACCATCAACGTGAATTTTTCCAGAGGAAATTGAACAAATCAGATCAATTTCAGATTGACAGACTGATCACTCAGTTGGGGAAGAATATAGGCCTAGGCCAAGATGAAAGTGTAGACGATCCCATGGATGTTACAAATCCAAATCTAAATTTAAATGAGTTTAGCCCACTCTCTATTAACATAACACACTAATATGGATACAAACATGTGTATGTATAAACAAAGATATTCTGATTATTTATCGTTGACAATAAATGTGTTCATATTAAAATTAATGTTTTATTTGATTCCAGCTGTTATTTTGATAGGTATCGGAAGTATCGGTATCGAGAGTACTTTGGTGGTATCGGTATCAACAATTTTTGGTATCAGTGCATCTCTACTTATTAGTCACTTACCCGTATGTTAGCACATCAGGCAGCCCATAGCTATTCTCCTTCATAGTGTTAACAGAATGAGTTGGTTTCACTTCACTGTGGTTAAGACCAAAACTCTGCAAAAACAAAATTAATTAGTAAAAACATTGTTATTAAAATCCATATTTGAAAATTGAAAATTTTATTTTGATCTTAAAAGTTGTCTAAAATAGGCCTACTCAAAATACACAAATACATTTTTAAACACATTTAATGTAATTTATTATTTTTACCAGTAGTATTTTATTCTTATTAATGATTTATATTTCGCCATTTAGAAATTACATAGTAAAATTGTGCTGTTCTAACATAAACTAAACAAACCAAACCTCTAGAACGTTAGCAAACTCCTTTTGATGTCAGAAATGGCATGTCAGGGTGGTTGGCCATGCTTTATGCGAATTCGTGACCGGATTAAGTCCTTGGAATGTAGGATGGATTAGGTAGCGGTAAGTTAAAGTTAGGTTATAATGAATCGAGTTGTTGGTTTAACTTATGTTGCCTGCAATTGGTTTTTGTAAAATTAAAATCCTGAGAAAAACACATCAAATTACTATTTCCAGTGTTTGATGTTGATGTTTTATTTGAAGTGTTTTTAGCGAATTTCCCATATAGGAAATAAGCTATTACCGTAGTACTCATGGTAAGACATGGACCCGGGACCAATTTACTTTTTCGTTTTGAGGTCCCCAGAGGCCAAAAACACCCTCCGTTCAAATTCATATAAATATATAAATATATATGTGTCCGTTAGCGCGATAACTTAAGCAAAAATTATCCTATTTTAATGAAATTTGGTTGAAACGTGTAAACCTACATTTATTCTAACGAGTTCGCGAACAAGCATGATCGGGCTATGGAAACAGGGGTTTATGGGGGGTTTTATGGGGTAAAAATAGGTTTTCCCCATTTTTGACTCTAAAACATAAAATTTCACAATTTCTTTCCAGACCATTTTGTAGAGCTTAAAAAAAGAAATAATTTTATATTATTGAAGCGATGTTGTATGCCTAACGGTTTACGTAACCGTTAGGCATGTACAACAATAATTAAAAAACGATAATTAAAAAAAACTTTAAATTTAAAATTCCCATGTTATTTTTATGGAGAATTATAACCTTAAATAAATAAACTGTTGTAGTTTGCTTGTTTATGGATATATTTTAATCAAACTTGGCAATTTTGATTATTTCATACTAAGCTATCAACATTTCAATAAAAAACACACCTCAATACCTTCCCTGTAGCAGCAAACCTAGGTACTCATTAAAATTAATGTTATTTAAAAAAGGAAATAAATCTGACAATTTTCAGGGTATATTTATTTAGAAATCCAGCCAGGTAAATGGAAATTCGCTTAGTCTGCAGGTTTGCTGCGGCGGGGCTATTATTTATTTCATTCCAGCGGCATATATACATAATATGCCGTATCGATATATAACAGGAAGCATGTTTTGTTGTGTAAGTTGTGTGCTAGCATTTTTGAGTGTTTTTTCTCAGGATTTTAATTTTACAAAAACAGTCTGCAGTCGACATAAACCAACAACTCGATTCATTATAAGGCTACGTATTAATATGCAATATGTAGGCCTACTGACACCCATTCGTCTAGCAAGCAACAATTTGTATACACTAGTAGTGATGGGATAACCGAATGGTTTCCATGACCGAATAATCAATCAGTTATTTTTTGCGTCAATCGGTTATTTTTAGTTGAATGAATCACCGAATCAATTTTAGTCATTATTCACTATCACAAACCACAACTAATTTTTATCCTATGGGAAACTGAATGGCATTTAGTCTTTCTGCGTCAATCGGTGATTTTTAGTCGAACGAATCGCCGAATAAATTTTAGTTACCTGATGATGTGACAAACTAAATCAACTAAATAACTAAATCACCGAATCGCACGGTAAGACTAATTTAACCGAACCAGGATAAAATAACCGAATTAGTCTATTCAGCATCAATAACCGATTGATTCGGTTATTTTCATTCGATGATTCCCACCACTATACACTAGGTAAAATAATTCTAAGTGAAAACAATAATTAATGGGTACACTTTAGTTTACGCTCCACGTGTAGATACTTACTTACTTACTTGATACTTGTGTGCTGCGTCGTTGACCGACAATGTCGGATAGACTGCGTTATTATATACATTTAAAAATAAACACTACTATTTACATACATATAAATAAACAAAACAACTTAAACAGGCTGTGGCGGTAAATAAAAACGTGTTCCCCATTTGTAATGAAGGCTTTTATGTGACTTTGAGGGGTTCTTTACTCAGCTCCTCCAGTGAGTACAGTGGCCTATCCACCAAGCTATCTCTGACGGCAGCTTTGAAGGAGGTGATTTCCATATCCCGCACCTTATCCGGCAAGGGATTAAAAAGCCGTATGGCATAGCGGGGATAGCTCTTGAGGGTGCGGGTGAGACGACAACGCGGCATGTCAAGGTGTAGTGCTTGCCGGGTGTCATAGCGGTGGTGAACTTCTCTTCGGTCAAACAGATGGACATTCTCTTTCAGGAGTATTAGGATGTTCAATACATATTGACTGAAGACTGTAAGAATGCCCAGATCTTTAAAAAGGGGCCTACAATGTTCGTTGTAGTCGGCTGACATTATGATTCTTACAGCTTTTTTCTGGAGCAATAATATGTCCTGTGCTGCTGGTGAATGACCCCAAAGTACCAAGCCGTACATAAGATGGCTATGAAACAGAGCATGGTACACAGTTATCAAGAATTGCTTCGGGATGATGTTACGAAGTTTCCTTAGGAGGCAAATAACCCTAGATAGCCGTGCGCATACCCTATCAATATGTGAGCTCCAGCTTAGTTTGGGATCCAACCAGAAACCTAGCAGTTTAACCGCCTCATCTCTTTCGCTTAGTGGCTTCAGTGTGCATAGCAAGGACTGAGTCTTAGCTGCATTTAATTTCAGGCGGTTTGCTGTAAACCAGTTCTTGGCCAGCTCCAAAAGATGGTCAGCTTCAATATGCAGTTGCTCAATGTCGCTTCCTCGAGATATCAGAGTGGTGTCGTCAGCGAATAGGAGGGTGGAGCCATTTAGCCTCAAATCGTTCACCGCTACACTAAAAAGGAGAGGGCCGAGCACCGAGCCCTGTGGCACTCCATGTGAGATACTCCTAACGCCGGAGAAGGCCCCATTTATCACAACTACTTGCCTGCGATTTGCCAAATAACAGGACAGGGACTTCAGCACAGTTCCGCCCACACCATACTTTGCTAGTTTGCCTATCAGTAGCTTATGGGACACCACATCAAACGCCTTGCTCAGATCGCAAAGTCTGAGGAGGATGTAGGGCTACTAATATACATTGGGTACAGTTTCTTAACACGTTCATCACAGGTGACGGGCTTACCCGTAACGCGAAACTACTCACGGGTGCGCGTGACGGGTTTACCAGTCATTGGGTCCCTTCCAATAAGCCTACACATTGATTCATTTGGAGCTCCGTTGTGGCTGGTGAACTTTAGGCCTATAATCGTTGACAGCCTGTGGCTTAGCATGCGAGTTTAATTTTGGTGTAGGTTGGTACTGAAATTTCCTGTCTGGCAATGCCGATTCTCTGCCGGTTTCGGGGATTTTCTCTTTTCGAGCAACATTACAAAGTCACTGGCTACGGATCTGGGTAGTGCTTTTACTTTTAAGCGTTTCAGTGAACTACGTCAACTCTGGGGGTAACGCAGCACAATCTCCGCTGTACTGAAATATTTGAATGCCAATTGCATTCGCTGATTCGGTGGAGCGCCGAGGCTTCGCCACCATTGGCGAGCGACTGTTTGATTAATGCTGAGTGAACATGTGAACTGGGCTCCTGCTAGGTTATATCTACTGTTTATATCGATTGAAATTGTCGATTCAATTGAGTAGTAAACCTTCATTCGATTTATTTCATTATTAGCAAGTTTGGTTAGGCGTAGTTAGGTTAGGTGGGTACACTTCCATATCTGTTGGCACAAACAACCGAATGAAAATATTGATACTAAGTTATTCGGTTGTTTGTGCCAACAGATATGGAAGTGTACCCGGTTAGGTTATTAACTAATGGGGAGGGCATATTAAATGTGGAATAGACTCTAAAACTCAATATCAAATTAAATTTAGACAGAATAGAAAACTAGTGTTTAATTGAATCAAGGAAAAACACAAAGGTAGGCTAATAATCAAATATAAAAACATAAACATAAGACTTAAATAAAATTAGGCTACACTTTACTTTAGGTCCTACACACATTCAAATGAAATTATCGATTATTCGATTGTTTCGTTCGATATATCGTTTGGTTAGTAAGGTTATGTTAACCTTACCTAGGGTAACTAACCAAATGATATAGGCCTATCAATTGAAACTATCAATTAATCGATGTATCGATCGATATTTTCATTCGAATTAGTGTAGGCCTAGGACCTAAAGTAAAGTGCAGCCTAAAATTAAAAGTAACATGCGAGCTTATTTACGGATCATGAGTGAAAGTCCAACAATTAAGAGTGTCATTTTATAAATTGATTTGGGGGCCTAAGATGAAGGCTTACCGGTAATTTACTAATCAAATTGATCAATATAGATAAGACCAGTTAAGGAACGGTACCCTAAAACCCTTTTAATTAGGGTACCAGCCGATTATAAAATGAAACTGTTCTACTAACCTAACCAAACATGCTGTACAATAGGCCTATGTGAGTAAATATGGCCTGTAAACTAAAGTGCAGCCCAATTTAAAATGTGATTATGCTTAATGAAATCACTTAATATGAAATATGATTTATGCCTAGCCTAGATAATTTAATGGAGTCTGAAATCAAAAGATAGCTTAGCATATTCCTAAAAGCTACATTTACTTAGGTGCCCCGGGTACACTTCCATATATGTTGGCACAAACATCCAATGAGTACCTAATATTGATTATTCGATTGTTTAATTCAATATTTGGTTTGGTTAGTTAGGTTAAACTTACCTAACTAACCAAACCATGTATCGAATAATCAATATATCGATCAATATTTTCATTCGGTTGTTTGTGCCAACAGATATGGAAGTGTACCCCGGTAGTTTAATTACTAAGCCTCTACACTTACCATTTTTAAATTTTGTTTTCACGGAACAAAAAATAATAAGGTGAATAGGCCTAAGTTAGACTAGTAGGGACCTAAACTAGTCTACAACGATGCGAAATCAGTCTAAACTCTAAACAAGGCAGAGACAAAAATGTTTAAAAAGTAATTTATTAAGACCAAGCTTTCACTCACAATACACTGAGAATATATAGTCAAGATTATTATTTATTATTACACAGAACACAGAACCAGACAGAACACAAATAAATTTTTATTGAAGTAAAAGTAGTACGCGAAAATGAAAATAGCAAACTCACTTGCATAGAGTAAAGAAAGTCTCCTCTACTGGTCTTTGTCTACAGAATTTGTATTTCTTAAGTCTAACAGTGCCGTAGATTATCAATCACTAGAGTCTCACAGCATCGACTTTAAAATTGGGTCGAAAACAGTTTTTGTCTCGTAAAAACTAAAGTATGGTATAAGGTATAAAAATTTAACATAAAATGTAAAAAAAACACGAAATGTACAGAAAACCGGACAGAACTAACAATAAAATTTACTTCAGCTGATCCATATGGATGGGAAATCTACTAAGGGACTATGTTTTATCTGTGATAAGGCTTACTTAAAGCCCAATTTTAAACAATTATTTTACTTCAGAAGAAAATTTTATCTAGAGTTCATACCTCACAACCCTGTTTAAGCAAATATTCGACAGCGTTACTGTACAGTAGGGGGGAGGGAGGTTTGTGCTCCTGTTATGCAGCATCACGGGGGGGGGTTAAAATGGCGAAAAATGCGTTACGTAATGTGTGGACGGCCCCATTTAATTTCTAATCAATTATAATCATTGAGATGGGGACGCCACCTAGGTCCATATTTTAACGAAATTGTTGTATCTGGTAAAACGAGGTTTTAAATGACTGAAATAACAAAAAACATATTGTAAACAAAACATGACCCCTACAGTGTACCGGACAGAACTAACAATAAAATTGGCTTCATATGTAAGGGGGTATGTTTTGTTGGTTAGTCTACGGGTTTATTTATTACAATGCATTATAAATTTGTACTTCCTGCGAAATGAAGAGTTGGAAAAAAAACAGTCAAGTAAATCTTTTGTTGGAGTTTGGAGCTGGAATGGAAGTCGACGTAGTTAAAGGCGGCCGTGACTGAACCCGCTTAGTGCTTACTCAACTCTCAATCTCTCATTCTCATTCCGAATTCCGATCTCTGCCTGCCTACAATCCTAAATCCTAATCCTACCTGGTTGCTTTCTTGCTGCTCTCTGAGTGCTCTGTGCTGTCATGTTGTTGAGAAGATGAAAGGTGAATTAATTTGGCAACTTTTGAGTTCAGATGCACTTATTTAAGTTATATCCGCTCATGGAAATCAAATGGTTTCTTTTGCCCTATCGATTTTAGTGCGCTTTATTTGATATCCATGTAAGTATCATTGGATATTTAATTTTGGACATCTTTAAATCGTTAAATACGTCCTAATTAGTAGGTGGACGACGTGTTACCAAGTGGACGACCTTCAAAACAATCCCTCTGACAACAATAATTAACTTAGGCTACTCCGAATATTTTTTAAAATTATAACTACCTAAATTTTATGTCTTAGAGATTTTAAATTATATTAAAATTATATTCAGTGAAACAAGTGGGCTAGGCCTTACCGTCCAAAGGGTTAAGTAGGCCTAATCTAGTAAAGCTTAGCCTAGGGCCTATTGGCAATTTCTAGAACCATTGGTTTTAGATAATTGAGTTCTCAAAAAATGGATAATGCCTTTTGGTTAATGAATGCTCAATCTATAGGTGAAAAGATTAACTTCAACTTTAAGACATCTCTGGACTTCAAAAATGTCTCCTTTGTTCAAGTTAGGTTAATCTTAGTTTATTTTTTCATTTATGCTTTGGTAATTATTTAGTAGCTTATAGGTGCCTCTAAACGAGTTTTTAATTTTGATGTCTAGTTTTTTATCTCCTGAATCCAAATATACCATTATTTTTCACCGCTGATGAATTTTTCTCAAGATATCGCCGTAAACTATAGTTAGGCCTACAACATTACATTACCGTTCAATAAACAAGGTAGGACGGATGACATTTAGAAGTGGAATGAACTTTGGGTGAAGTAAGCCAACAGCTGATTGTTTGTAATTACAATATTATTTAACGTTAATTATGTTAGGGTTATGTAGCCTAATCTTTGTAATAGGCCTATTGCCTAGCTGCTTTGAAGCTTCATTGTCAATAACCTACCAAGTTTTAGTATCTAGGCCTAACTTAGAATTGTGTTGTCAATGTCCTGGACTTGTGTGAACCTGGCAATAAGTAATGCACGCGCCATAAAAAATCTATTGCTGGCCGTTTTGCGGCAAAATACGTCCGCGATCCATATTACCGATGATGCCAACAGTATAGAGGACACATTAACGGACACGACAGTATCAACATCATCTACCTGGGGAGTAAAACAGCCAGCAACAGATTTTAGCGGGCGCGCGCACAACTTATTGCTGATCTTCCCCCCCCCCCTAACCTACTCCCCAGGTACATGATGTTGATACTGTCGTGTCCGTTAAAGTGTCCTCTATCTGTTGGCATCATCATCGGTAATATAGATCGCGGATGTATTTTGCTACAAAACGGCCAGCAATAGATTTTGGCGTGCGCGCGCACATCTTATGGCTGATTTTACCCCCCCTAACCTACTCCCCATTTAATTAATGATGTTGATACTGTCGTGTCCGTTAAAGTGTCCTCAATCTGTTGGCATCATCGGTAATATGGATTGCGGACTTTTTTTGCCGCAAAACGGCCAGCAATAGATTTTAGTGGGCGCGCGCACAACTTATTGCTGATTTTACCCCCCATAACCTACTCTCCAGGTACATGATGTTGATACTGTCGTGTCCGTTAAAGTGTCCTCTATCTGTTGGCATCATCGGTAATATGGATCGCGGCGTATTTTGCCGCAAAACGGCCAGCAATAGATTTTTTGTGGCACGTGCACTAGTTATTGCCAGGTTCACACCAATATGTGTTGACCCCACAGAATTGGTCAATCGGATAGGCTACTGATCCTAATTTTATGATAAGCTTTCATGTTAAGACATAATTGTTTTTGTACGATCTACATACCTATTATTGCAATATGGTAGGCTACACGTTTTTTTGTTATTTTATTCGTAAATAATTTTTTGCTGTATTAATTTACACTCTTTTGTAAGGTAAATCACCCAAATTCCGAACGGTTAAGGGTGGTTGAGCTATTTAAACATATTTTTCTCTGACTTAATTAAGAGTAAAGGTAAATTACTTTGTTCATATGTATTTGCAAAGTTATATTCTACAATTTAATATAATGAACGATACACTAAATAAAATAAAAACAGATAAAAACGGCAATATCTAAGTCGAACAGATTGGATGAGTAATGCCCAAGACCGAACGGCGCATGTCCCAACACCGAACGATCGACTCCCAATACCGAACGACTTTAAAATCAGTCTAAAATGGTTGAACATTGACGAAAATGATGATGTAAGATAAAATGAAGTTACTGACCTTCTGTTGCATTACCACATTGATGACGACTCGTTAACTAGATCGGAACTGAACTGAACTGTCAGAACAGAACTGAAAGTCACTGCCATCTAAATATAGTACGAAGGAAAAATAATTACAGAAATAGTTATGAACAAGAATGTATGTTTTTATTTTGACAGTACAAAATAATGTTTAGATAAGTTTCAAAGATTAACTTAGGCCTAATACAAAGAATTACAAATTCGGACAAAAAATAAATTGGAGACAAATATAAAATCCATATTTAAGTACCTACATCATATTTACAATGGGTGGCTTCAGCAAATCAAGAAGTGTGTGCTCAAGCGGCTACAAAAGGAATGTGGACATAACTTAGTTGTGTTGTTTTAAATGTGAGCATGGACTTGAAAAATTACTGTCACGTGGAAGAAATATACTTGAGAATAAAATCAAATCAACCTATAACTACTTTGAAAACACGTCTTGAGACAATTATTGCACTTAAAAAGTCATATTTGAACAAGTAGATTATAAACATTACAGGTAACAAGAAAGACACTTTAATGTACATACAATGAAAATTGAACTTACAACTAAAAATATTTACAATATTTACAGTCCTATACAATATTTACAATGTGCTGAAGTCACTAACTTATTTTGACATGATTTTATCTTTGAACGAAAAAAACCCTCTTCTTTCCACTACAGGGGCACTCAGAATTTGGACAATTTCAGTCAGAAGGACGTCATTATCTATATCATCTTCCTCGGGCCAAAAAAATTTGTTACCTTTTCTTGTTAGGAATTTGATGCTAGCAGATTCGTCTTTAAGCGCCTTAACTTGTCCTGGGAAAAATTGTTTTTCGCCTTTAACAAGATAAGGGACAACGACCCAACTGTTGATGCTCAGGTTTGCCAGATCTTCGGGCTCAATAGGTGAAGGGTCGTCTTCACTTTCGGATGAATTCAGTTCTTCTTCGAAGCAAATCTTTTTAGCAGTCCGTTTCTTGCTGGAGACATTCTCTTTTTTTATAGCTTTCTTTGTTTCTCTAATTAGTCGCCTTTGCTCTTTCTCTTTGTCTAGTTTTCTTTTCTTCTCTTCTCTTTCTTTGATGTACAACTTGTAGCTGTCCCCAGTTATTGCTGCAGGAGTGGGATCTCGGGATTTCTTTTTCTTGTTTAGGGATGTAGGAGATGGGTAAGGAAGGCATCGCTTAAATGGAGAGGGCATAGTTTTGGTAGGTGTTGATGGATTGGTTTGTTGTGGTGGTGGTACATTTACTGGGGTGTTGATGGGTTTATGGGATGAGGAAGGTGTGGGTGACAAAGTTGCAGGTTCGGGGGAATTGTGAGGTAATGGGGTAGATAGTATTTTTGCAGTTGGGGAGGCATAGAGGTGGTCATAGTGTGCCGTGGAAGTAGATGGCTGGTGAAATATGTCTGTTGGGGTATTGTCAGATACGATTGTTGGACTTGTCACTACTTCTTCTCCAATCTCGACTTCTTCTACTCCAATCTCGATAACCATGCCGGTTTCGAGATTGGCAAATCCTAGGTCATCAACGAGGAGTTGCAATCCTGTGTCGTCCAACGACTCGTCCCCATCTGCAATTACACGACCCTCTTCAATGCAGACAGCTTCATCATCCACTTCAAACAAAGGCTGGTCAAGGTTTTCTATCTGTTGGTGGTCGGGGCTGGCTAGAAGAGAATCTTCAAACTCAGGAAGAGGTACTGATAACTCTGGGTCATCGGGATCGATGGGGGAATGAGGAGGAGAGGGAGGAGGACCGTTTCTCTGTGCTTGCTGTTTTTTCTGTATGATGGACTCTTCTATACTCTCCAATTCCCTTCTGATTTCGGTCCATACCTGGAAAAGGGATTCATCCCTGGTTTGGATGTCATCTTCAGTGACGAACTTCCTTACCTTTTCAAGGCCAATCTTGGTTTCGAGGAAGTTTAAGTGAGCCCTAATCTCACTTTGTTTTCTCTCGAGAGATGTAGTAGTGTGGTTCAAATCCGGCTTCTTCAATATGAGGTCATAGTGGACCGAGTCAGGATTTAGTTTGTCAAGTCCAGTCGCCTTGAAACCATTGATGATGATTTTTTTATCCAATTTGGAGATCACGTCATGTAGCATAGGGGCAAACTCGTCCCTCCTCATCCTTCTCCCGTCATTAGAAAAACGCCACTGGTTTACAGTTTTTTTCCATATGGCCTTTAGGGGTTTGAATACAGTCACATCCAAAGGCTGTAATAGATGTGTTGAGTTAGGATAAAGTGCCACAACCTCAATTTGATTTTCCGAGCAATAGTCTGAAAGATATTTGCTCATATGTGATGTGTGGCCGTCAATAAACATCAGCACAGGAAACTTTACCTTCTCAGAGATGAGCCAAGGATGGAACACATTAGTGACGTATTCGAAGAAAGTCTCCCTCGTCATCCATCCTGACTCAGATTTCCCCAGACCCCATTCTCCTGGGAAACTTTTTATAATCGTAGTTGGTACCCTCTCATATGGGTAGACAACCATTGGTGATGCCATTTGCCCAGCGGCGTTTGCATTGTCCAAGACGGTTAGGCATTCTTTTTCGTCGTTGCCGGTTTTTGTGTACACGGCCTTCTCCCCTTTTTTGGCCAACACTTTTTTACCCTTGGGGCACAGGTAAAATGCTGATTCGTCAGCATTAAATACTCGTTGTGGCTCTTCAAAGATATCCAACAAGTCTTTGCTTTGAAGATAGTCACGGACCTCCTCAAACCAACCACGGACTTGGTCTTCTGTGACGTTGGCCCGGCTAGATGTTAGTGCCTGCGTCACTCTCTTGGCCACTTCAGGGTGGCGACCAAGGAACAGCTGGTACCACTTTTCCCCTGGTACG